GCCTAAGCCCGACCCAGTCTAGACCAATTTAATCATGATTCGATTCAATTCGATCTGCTCTTAAATAAGGGAAATGGTTCAACTGTGTTGCAAAATAACAATTTGCTTATTTTTCTCCCTTCACCATAAACAACAGGTTTTAAGGGCAATCTTGTAAATTGGACAGTTTAATCTTAAACCAAAACTGATTCTTGTTGTCGAAAGCTAACGTTGGCACTGAACATCAACCGGATGTAAACATCCGGCAAGCCAGGAGCGATACAAAACACAGAAACGTGCCTCAGCTTCATCACACACAAGACACCATGGAGAAAAATTATTCTCATTCCCTATGACAGGGCTATTCAACTGGAGGCCCATGGGCCACATCAGACCCACTGGGGACCAAAATCCAGCCCACCAATTGGTTCATTAAGTTCATTGGTTCTTAAGCTCAAACACTTGGTTTTCTACTTTAAATACTATAAGTTCTTTAAGTTAAACATAGACGTGTGGTATACAGAAACATCAGAATCTTAGCCAAAAGCTGGTTAAAAACCATTTGAATAAAACCCAAGACAGTTAAAACCACAAGCAGTAGAATATAAAATTAAGTTAAGTAAAAATAAAATTGGTTAAAATATGTGGCAATTTAAATATGTCAAAATAATATTTGCGTCAATTGTTTTTGATTTTGTTTTAATATCACTTATTTTATTACATTGGGTTCTATATGTTGTATTCATGATTAAATGCAGCAAAGTAAACTGATTCAAAGGTAACAGATCTTTGTAATACTTTGTTTATTTACATAATATCTTTAATTGCTGGATGTACGGCCCCTGAGTTGTTGGCCTGCAGTAACTGTGGCCCCTGGAGTGATTTAGTTGAATAGCCCTGCCCTATGAATCGATTGTCCCAAATTTAAATGWAATCAATCCAAGTTCAATTAAATGGATTTTTTTTACCAGCCCTAATGCTTGATGGTCAGATCAGCTAGTGGAACCTCTTCTTGTGCAGTGTGTTGCAGTTCCTTCAATAATATTTTATTTCTGCCAAAATAGACATKCATTGGTAGTTTGAAACTGGTAAGAAAGGTCTCTGAAAAATGTGTTTATRTAAACTGTTAGGAGTTTTTGAGACTGGAGTTTTTGTTTTTAGGACTTGAGCTAGACCCTACTCAGACTAGCCATGAGCTCTTCAGTTTGTTCAGAATTAAACTCTGTTTCTCCAGAATGACGWYGTTCTCRGGTTTGTCTGCAACAGTAACTTGTAGCTTTAACAGAACTCCAGTCCAACAAGGTTTGAACAGCTTTAACACCATCAGTCCTGATCAGTCTGCACAGGTTTTACAGAATAAAAGTCTGACATCACACTCTTTGCTTTTTGTAATTTTTGGGTTATTTTCTCCTGTGGAATCTCTACTAGAGCTTCATAAATTCTGTGTGAATCTAGATTTAATRAATCCCAAATAAAATGGTTTAGTTTTATTAATCAAAGCTGAATTTAGACTCTAAATGCAGACACTGACATGCTTTGAAATTTACTGCTGCTAACTGTTTTATAGCTCTGTGAAAGTTTTTAGAGCCCTTCAGAGAGCGGGGATTAATGTTTATCTGTGACAAATGAGCTTTTTTACTGTTGGCTTTAGCTATTTATGCTCATTTGATTAAAAAATTATTTTTAGTTTTTTTTCCCTTCCTACTTGTTCAAATACCTTTCCATTTGGTGCTGTTTGTTGTTCTTTTTTTATAATTACTTTCAACCTTTTGTTCTTTCTCCCCCCGTTTTTTTTTTCTTTTGTTTTTGGTTCGTCAGCGTGCCGAACCTGAACAGCGACCTGTTTGATCTCCAGCCGGCCTTCATCCCCGCTGTGCAGAGCAATTCTTCAATCTCCAATGCCAACAGTGCCTGGGGAGGTACGTTATCTGCACACATTCATGAAGCAGCCAGCGGGAGATTCGTCACATAGCTGCCTGTAACACATACACGTGTTCACAAAGTGGATTTATTGTTAAAATATTCCCCCGGGCCAGTCGTTCATCTATTCACCCATCATCACTCTCTCCTGTAGAAACCAGTGTTGCACGACCCACGCAGTCTCGTGCACTGAGACGAGAGGTTTTCTCTGCAGAMTCTTGAAATAAAGTCCTGTAACTGCAGGTTGAGACTGTCGGAGGAACTGTCAGCTGATGTTCATCCTCCCTGACTTCAGTTTCATGTTTGTCAGTGTAGAATGTGTTGCCGGGCCCCACTTTGACACATTAGCAGGGCTGCAGAACTCGCCCCACGGGATTCTGAAGAAAGAAGGCTGACATTTCGGCTTGCTATTTTAAATCAAAGTGCAACACAAAGATGTGTCTAGGAGATGGGGTAGTGTGGAGTATTATAGGCTTTATGTCACAGGATTATGCTGAAGCCACTTAGTTTGGCCAGATTTCGAGGCAGAAGCTACTTGTAAGCTGTGGATRGTAGCTGTAACTCTGACATCTGCGATYAGAGTCCACYGTTCTTCTAATAAACACAGATGATGCTCAACGCTGGACCATCAATGTAAAGCAGCGTGTAGAGGGAATGATGTCTTTTTGTTATTTATGATCCAGCTCTAAGCGAGGACATAAATGACAGAAGATGGATATTTGGTGATTGGAATTTGGCTCAAATCTGAGCTGTTGGCTACAAAACAAAATGCCTGATTGGTACAAAAAACATTAAGGTTTTATACAAATAAGTTACGTTACTTAAAGTGTCTGTGACATGCATGTCTTTTAAGTACAAAAAAATCAAAGAAAACATCTTTATTTTTTTAAAAAACTTTGTGTAAAACACACGATTTGACCCATTTTGAACTCCGCTAAAGTGAAACAGGATGTGACATCAAAGGGGAACTTTTAAAGAAAGAAAACTCTGATCTTTGTTTATTGAAACAGTATGATTTGAACTCTGACTCTTCATCTCTTTGATAGTCAAAATAATTTAAAGAAACATCAGATTTATCTCTAGTCTCTGTTAGCTGTTCTAGAAATGTTATCAGACGTTCGTCTTTGACATAATTTTCTGTTACATCACATGTAAACATCTCAACAACTGTTTATCTCAGTGGCATGACTTTTTTTGCAATATTTTATCAATTTTACCTTTTAAAGAATGAATTGATATTTGTGACCCATCACATAAAACCAAGTCAAATGTGGTCAAAATGACCTCGGCACATTTTCTGAGTCCTGCTTTTTAAGCTACATTGTGATATCATGAGCGGTTCTGAAGACAGGACTTAATTCGTCTTGTTAATCACAACAATACGTTAATATTTGGTCTCAATCCTATTTTTAGGTCATTGTAATGAGTATTTTTCCATGTAATTTTAAATATTAGGATATTAGGATTCACCTGCTGGAAAGATACAAAAGCTTTGTGAGCTCACAGGGAAAATATCCAAAGTTTAAGGTGTTTTTGGCTTTTGTTTTTTGTTGCTGCTGCTCAAAAAAGTGCTTCAAAAATGTATTTCTGACAGTTCAGACATTGAAATGATACACTGATGAGGCATTTATTCATTATATAAAAAGCAATTATTGCAAGAGTTTGAATCAAAATACTACACAGTATCTGCCTATTTCTCCATGTACCACTTTAGATACTTTAGACCTACTTCTAATTTACACTAGATGTGGTTCTGCTCTGCTCCAACCTCTGCAGCAAATACACAGCTATTATAATCAAGGAGTGTCAAAATAAGGCTTGACTTCTCTAAAATTTACAGAAATTAAACCGAGAAGGCTTAAAACTGAGTAGTAGTTGCAGCTCAGTGAGATACCGACTTTATTGCAAAATAAGTTAGTTTTAATATCTACATTAAAAATAAAAGTAAAAAAAATTGTACAATGAAAACCCTAAATATTTTACATGCCTTAATTGTTGATTTTAAATGACAATCACAAACAGTCTGACATTTAAAAAAAGGAATAATGTTTTTTTTATTTCCCACCTGATTGTGGTTTTTAAAAATTGTGATCTGCTCTGAATCATCGGGGATAAAAACCAAAAATAAAAAAGGACAAGAAAGGTATATCTATAGATTTCCTTGAGCACAGGATTAGCTCTCCTTGTGTTCCCCAGCCTCCCGAACAGAATCCCTTTTTTTCTTTTTTTCTTTTTTTTTTTTACAAAACCACCACAATGAMAGCACAGCGAGGACTGTAACGTACGTGTTCCTAATCTGATGGGATTAGTTTAGCTGAAGATGGTGGCGAAGCAACTCTGTTTCTATAAAATCAGTCTGTTTGCATCTACAGGGGTGTCTTTTTGTCAAGAGATGTGGGGATAAATCTGCTCCAGCTGCTGCAGCTTATACAGCAACAAAGCAGGAACGTTAATCAGTCATGTTTAACTGCATTCCTCAGGACTGGAGAACCAGCCGCTGCAGAGCGCCGCCCCGGCCATGACTGTAGATTTTGATGCTGTGTTTGGGAATAAAGATACATCCAGTAACAACGGCCCACAACCTGCAGCTGGTAAAGCCCTCTCTGCCTGTCTCTGTCTGTTCAGACGGAGTTGGACTGAAAACCCTTTTTTTTTTTTTTTTTGGCTTCAATGGCGGCACGAGTTTCGGCATTTTAACTAACCTTCTGATTAGTTTCACCAACCTGTGGTTCTTCTGCTCGGTGGGCTTTTCTAACTTCATCGCAAAGTTTTCTCACAACGGCAGGTCCTCGTTCTGCTAACAGAAGGTACACACCGGATGTCCCTGAACTGCAAACTCTGATGGATTTCAGAAGCTCCTTAAAACTCTGCTCCATTTGTTCTAATTAGCATAATTCAGACTAATAATTTATGTTATTGACTGAATGTTTGCTGCAAACCGGCTGTACATTATGATCAAAACCAGTTATTCAGGAACAAAAACCTTCAAAGTTTCTTATGACTCTTTTTCTCCAGGGTTCTTACACAATTCAAAAAGCTTAAACCTATTTATTTAATTATGACAGGGTTTTTTTTAAAAGTGACCTCCAACTAGTTGATAAATGACTTCAACAAAAAATAAATAAATAAATAAATAAATAAATAAATAAATAAATAAATAAATAAATAAACAGTAAAAATACTGTTTAGTTTTTACAAATCAAAAATATATTATCACATGGACGTTACAGTGTTGTTTACGCCACGAAGAATTCTGGGTAACTGATGATGCTGGTGCATACAAACTAATACAAAATGCATTTATTGTTAAATTATATCGTTTCAGTCTCCACTGTTAGCATTTAGCATCATCATCCCCAGAATGCATTGCATCTGTAAGAAAATGGCAACGTACTTAAGTGAAGACTGTTAGACATCTGCAGTTTTTTTAAGTAATTAGGTATCACAAACAGTTTAGAGAAATAACACATTAAAGCCAACATGTGGCCGTAGTTGATGATCCCTTTAATGTAAACAAAAAAAAAAATTTTCTGTTGAAAATTCTCCATTTCTTCAAACTGAGGTCATTCAAAAAGGTAACAGGTAAGATAATAGTTGTTTATAAGCTATTCACAGAACTGTACTTAAATAGATCTGAAGAATAGAAAACAAATATTTAGTACCTTTTAACACCAGAATACATGAGACTGTGCAGAAACCACCTCTGCCCAACTTCCTGTCTTAACAGCTTTAGATGCTTCATTGCTGCAGGTCTGAGTCTTTTTTATTAGCACACTTTCTTTTAACCTCCTAACAGCTGACACAATCGATCTCTCTGCTTCTTAACCGTTTGGTGTCCCATGACTCCTCTATAAAGACTTTTCACACACAGACGTTTGGAGAGCTCTAACAAAAACATAAATGGTTTTGTATTTTTTAAGCATAAAACATGTAAAATATTGCTTCAGTTTAAGTTATCTACAGTTTTAATAGAGATCTCATGTAAACAAACAAACAAAAACAGGTAAGTTTAGTCTGTTACTCTACACTTTTACACATAATTGCATGTTTTGTTGTTCATTTCCAGTCTGACTCCAGCTGTTTTAGTTTGGAGTTTAATGTTTGATGTTTTATTTGCTTCACGGCGACAGCCTCTTTCAGCACAGCTGGAAGTCTAAATGCATCAGTCGTCCAGCTGTTTTAGAGCGACACGCGCTGCATGTTCAGTTTACGCTCGTTGAGATGGCTTAATTAACCTGAAACTATAACCCAGGTATTAACATGAATGTAGCAACTCTGTGGTAACAGTCATGCAGAGCTTAGATTTTTGTCTCACCTTGTTTAACATTATCCATCCTTGCTCAGATCTAACAGTTAGAGGCCATCTGGTTTTAGGTTGAAACAGACATTTTTGTCAATAAAGCGTGTGTTGAGCCTGTCGTTACATCAACCAGTAAATCATCCGAGCAGCTGGCAGCGTCTCACACAAATGTGTCTTCAGCTTCTTTATGTCTCTGGTTTCTTTAAGGTGTGTGTCGACGTGTTTCTGTGTCTGTGTGTTTGAGTCCGTTCACACAGCTGTCATTTTCCTCCATCCCGACTCTGTCTCTGCTTATCGGTTTTGTTGTTGTTCACACCATTCTCACCTTCCTCCTCCTCCTCCTCTTCGTCTCTCTGCCTCCTTTTGTTTCATCTGTGTCATCTTGTTTCCTTCACCGTCTCCTCATCACACTTCACAAGGCAAGAATCACCCAGGCAACTCCTTTCCATCTGCTCGCCCCCCTCTTTTCTCTCACTCCTCAGATTTAAAATACCCCAATATTCTCTGCTCTATCTGCATTCTTTTGTTAATTGTAGCCATTTTTAATTAAGGCTGGGCAATAAAACCTAAAAACATTTCTGTATACAATTGGCACCGGTGGCACTCAGGGTTCCTCAAGTGGTACTTATCTATAACCAGGTAAATGACAAAATAATTGACCATGAGTATAACTGATTTAAAGCTAAAAGGCAGAGAGTTTAAAACATGGTTTAATCAAATTACAGAGACCAGTGTACAAGCGGCTACTTAATTAGCACCAGTGATGTCTCTAAAGCACCTGCAAGCAACAAAGACTAAGGAAATTTGTGTTTGGTTGATCATTTCTTTGTTGTAACAATAGTTCTTGGCAATAAGTATATACCATTGGAAGGTCTGTTTATTTCCCCTAAATGATGTCAGAGTTGTTAGGAAAATAATTTGTGGGTTGCCAAATCTTCTCTGCCAATTCTAAACATGCCTATTCTGCTTTTCACTTTTATTTGGTGCCATTTATTATCTGTGATGATTAAAGTATGGTGGAATAAGACATATTGGCAGTTTAACRTTTTATTAATTTAACAAATAGGCATCAGTAGCATGTGGAAGAACCATACACAGTCACAACAGCCTGGCTGCTCCTAGTCATGCTGCTCACCAGCCCAGTCACACATTGTTGTTGGATAGCATCCCATTCTTCAAGCAGCATTTGTCACAACTCCTCTAAAATGGTGATGTTGGTCAATCTGGGATGAACAGCTCTCTCCAGCTGATCCTACAGATGTTCAGTCTGGTCAGGATGAGTAACCTGTGGAGGCAGGTGTTAAACTGTGGCATATTTGCATTGGAAGATCTGACCTGGACCAGGTCTTCCCTGGCAATGCATAGCCTCCATTGTTTTTGCATGTGGGCAGGACTGTCACAGCAAGGTCCCTCGAGGCTCATGTCATTTTCTGCAACACACAGTGATGGAAAGCATGGAGCTCATACAATTATCGTTTTTTTCTTTCATCAAAAACAAGTTGAAGCAGAGCCAGAGAAGTCTGTGTGCTGCTAAAAGAAAGACAGCAAAAAGATGCACGAGTGTATGATTCCATCGTATCATGCTGAAGGTGGGAATTAAGACAGTGTAAGAAGGTAAACTAATGGCAGCTAACGTTAGCTTGTTTACAGGCATTTGATTGGTTTACTGGCTGGTTGTTCATGCAACTTCAAAGGCCAAGGTCAAATCGAGCCTAGCAGCCTTGCCCGAATAGAACCCCAGAGACACAAGTTTAACTACACAACTGTAGCAAGTTACCAAGCAGCAACAAAACAATGGGCCTCATGCAAGAACATGTTCGTATTCTTATCCTAAATTTCTCTTACTTTTGTTCGTATGAAGGGTTTGTACGAACATGTCACGTCAGATTCAACAAACTCTTCTATCTTCAGGAAAAGTGCGTAAATGAGCTGCGTAAATTCCACCTGTTCTATCCAGCTGCTCGTGCACGAGGAGAGATTAGCATAATTACCACCCCAAAAACACCATATAAGGCTATGTTTCCTACCTTAGATACAAGTGTTCATTCATGAAAAATGACAGCGAAAACTAAAAAGAAGAACTTTACGAGTTCAGAGATTGAAGTCCGTCTGTCAGAGATCCAGAAAAGAAAATCTGTCATTTTTAGCAGGTCAGCTGTGGAAAATGTAGCAGCTGAGCTGCTACATTTACATATATACATATTTACATATGTATGTATGTATGTATGTATGTATGTATG